TAATACCTATTAAAATATTAAAAGTAATCAGAGTTAAAGATGATGTTGTTTATTTGACATCATTTTTCAGAGACTCGGAACTTCCAAAAAAGCTTATTTGTGAGCTCACAAAGAAAATCTGGGGCACTTTATAAATCTCCCTTTCATACCTGGGACAAGGGAGCCCAAGGAAATGAAGTTATTTACCCAGCGTCACAGAAACGAAAATGTGAATTCATCAGTTAAGGACGTGACTTTATAACGCAGCTGAATATCAATTACTGTGGTTGCTGTTAAGACTTTGGTGTGTGTCGTAGATACGCAATTCGTGCCAGTTGCTTTATTCACAAAGTAACACTAGTGATTTTTAAACCATAAATCATACCGTATCTTTTTAGTTCAAAGAGGCAACTATATATCACACTGGTAATTAAACAACTCTTATTACAAAGGCACGGTTATTTTCAGTAAAATACATCTAGATTGATGCTCTAATTTTGTAATTGCTAAATCTTGCCTGTGTCGTTGCGAAAAATGAATCTCACGAGGTTTTTTAGGGGGAAGGGGGTGGGGGTGAGGACCAGAAACCCTTAAGAGAAAAAAATAAACCTAAGATCCTGAAAAATGATACTTGGCCTAAATACTGGACTTTTTGTTTTGTTTTGTTTTGGTCAGTTATTTTATTTAGTTAAAAAGGTGCAATGACTTGAGAGGATAATTCTGACCTAATTCTTGAAAAATGCACTTTCTTTAGCCTTCAAGTCTAGTGCTTGTTGCCAAGGACCGGCACGGCGCCTCTGTTTTCACGGCTGTGGAGAGCAGTTGGAAGGTTATTTCCACAAGATGCTATGAGTCCTGTCTTTGCCAGGGCAGCGGGGAGGCGCAAGGGTCTGGAACCTGTTCCTACTCCTTTTCCTCTGAACGCTGTTTTCTGTGCAGCAGGCGCCCCGTCCCGAGGGCTGGCGGCCTGCCCCGGGGTTCAGGCCCGCAGGTGCAGGCGTGCATCCCAGGGGCGTTGTTGGCCACCGTTCAGGCCCTGGGGTTCAGGCCCACAAGTGCAGGCGCGCATCTCGGGGGCCGGGGTTCAGGCTCGCAGGTGCAGCCGTGCATCCCAGGGGCGTTGTTCGCCACTGGTCCCCACCCGCAGGCCACAGGGCTGCACCGGGCGCTGCGGACGCAGAGGGGCCAGTGCGCGGGAGGAAGCCAGATGCCCTGACAGTCCACCTGTATTTTCGTTGCCTCCGGTCAGGTCCATGGAGACCAGCCCATCCCTGAGGCGCAAGACGGTGATGCGGGAGAAGGGCCGGCGCCAGGCCGTCCGGGGCCCGGCCTTCATGTTCAATGACCGCGGCACCAGCCTCACGGCCGAGGAGGAGCGCTTCCTGGACGCCGCCGAGTACGGCAACATCCCCGTGGTGCGCAAGATGCTGGAGGAGTCCAAGACGCTCAACGTCAACTGCGTGGACTACATGGGCCAGAACGCGCTGCAGCTGGCCGTGGGCAACGAGCACCTGGAGGTGACCGAGCTGCTGCTCAAGAAGGAGAACCTGGCGCGCATCGGCGACGCGCTGCTGCTGGCCATCAGCAAGGGCTACGTGCGCATCGTGGAGGCCATCCTCGGCCACCCCGGCTTCGCGGCCAGCAAGCGCCTGACGCTGAGCCCCTGCGAGCAGGAGCTGCAGGACGACGACTTCTACGCCTACGACGAGGACGGCACGCGCTTCTCGCCGGACATCACCCCCATCATCCTGGCGGCGCACTGCCAGAAGTACGAGGTGGTGCACATGCTGCTCATGAAGGGCGCCCGCATCGAGCGGCCGCACGACTACTTCTGCAAGTGCGCGGACTGCACGGAGAAGCAGCGGCACGACTCCTTCAGCCACTCGCGCTCCAGGATCAACGCCTACAAGGGGCTGGCCAGCCCGGCCTACCTGTCTCTGTCCAGCGAGGACCCCGTGCTCACTGCCCTGGAGCTCAGCAACGAGCTGGCCAAGCTGGCCAACATCGAGAAAGAATTCAAGGTAAGCCCCGCGCCCCGCAGGCCGCCGCCTGGCACCTGTCCTGCTTCGCTCCCGAGTCAGCGTTGCCCACTGAATTTAACATCACGAGAGATCGGGAGCGGCCTTCAGAAAGAATCTGATGATGTTCCCCTTTCGCCATGGTGCCGTGAGAAATTCGCTTTGGGGATGGGGGTGTACTGGATCAGAGAGCTATCGTTATGCTGCTGCTCCCTGTTCAGGATAAACATTAAGTAGCACACAAGGCTTCTCGCCTTTTGTCAAAAGGCGGGATTTGGTGTGATCGTCTCCTCTCCAAATTCTTCCTCCTCCTTCATAGTTAGTTTTATGGTGGCACCCAACATAGAAGTAGTTAGTATTAGTTCTGCATCCACTGTATATTGGCCCAAACATTTGTGTATCCCTTTAGATCGAAAGTCGAAAGACTAATATAAAATGCTACCAAAATCATATCATTAATACAACAAGAATACCTCTCCCTAAAATCCACAAATGTATCTTCAGAGTGGTGAATGTAGACACACAGACATCAGGTCAGCCTGGAAATTCAAGGACAGCAGAGTGTTTTTGCTTTAATGGATTTTTTTTTTTTTTTAATGAGTGAACTTTTTTCCCGGACATCATCTCCAGTCAAGCAGCATTATTCATTTTTATAACAGTTATACATCGATGTAGAACATTTTTCTTTTTTATACAACCGTTACATCTCCTGTGCATTTTGGACGGTTCTGCCCGTTCGGTCTGGGGCACAAGGGGATCAGGGAGTTCTGGAGAAGTCAGACTGCTGTCCAGGGGGTTCTTGTCTCCCACTGTCCACCTAAGAAGGTGATCGTAGCATCGGTTCCTCGAATTATTTTCCGGATGCCAAGTTCGTGTTTTCAGCTCAGTGTTGTGGTGTCAGGTTCCAGAAAGAGTGATCATCCGTCTTTCAGATTCTGTCTTTCAGTGTTTCTTACTTAAGTAAGTTTACATAAAATGCAAATGGCAACCTAATTCAGGCGAAAGGGTTGCAAAAAAAATGGTAGGAAAGTTTTGTGGGCTTTTTTTCTCTGCCATATGTACGAAATTCCTAGATAGTCATCAATCCTTATTTTGTCCTGATGGAGTGCTGGCCTTAGTATAATTGTATTTATTATTCCGTTAACATTTTTTTCTGATATAAAAGTTCCACATTTATTATAAAAATTTTGGGAAATGTGAGGAGATATAAAGAATAAAATAAGTATTGCCTTATATCTACTCCCTTTGAAGAGACTTATTATGTAGTATTTGAAAGACTTATTTTCTTGGACTCAAAATGAATTTTTTTTTTTCAGAACAAATTGAAAACCTTAAATTCTATTTAGAGAGAATAGAAAAGAATTCAGATAAAATAGTTCTAAATGTCACTTCTTTAACATAGTCCTAAAAAATATAATCTTAAACCTGTTCACCACTTTCGAATGTCATTCAGACCTTTTTATGCATTTTGCTTGATGTATATTGAAAGTCTATAAAAGAGTCTACAAAAGGGAATATTTTCTAAGATTATGCTTTAATAATGATGGTGATGTTCGCAATTCTGCCTAGAGAAGTCATCTCAGTACAGCAATGGTTAAAAATTTGTTATTCATAGTGTTCTACTGAAGCCAGCTAAATCTATGTTGATGATACTTAGAATCACCTCTGATAACCTTTCAAAGGTGGAAAAATATTACAAGTAAATAGGCACAAAAAAAGAAAAAGAAAGAAAGATAGAAAATATAACTGAGTGTAAGAGGTCATCCACAAAGCTGCCAAATATCTAAAGGTATGCAAAAATAATCTAAATCTGACAGTTCCTTTATCTGAATTGTATGGAAAAGCACTTGGGTGACAAAACCTTCTCTGAGCCAAAATACAGACAGTTCTTGAGAAGTCGTAGTCTCTAGGGGACCACAGGTCCCTCTCCCCTGACTGAATGACTATTCCATTTCTTTCCCATTCTTCCCTGTCCTTATTACTCCCTTCTTACCTGCCTTCCCGTCTCCTCTCTGCTCTCTCATCCCACGCTCATGTCCACCTGTCAAGGCTTTAGACAGACAGAGAAAATAAAGCTTTCACAGCCCCGACCCAGGACTCTGAGCTCTGAAAGGGCAGTGAACACGCAACTCATTTCAGAGGCAGGCGGATAACCTAATTTGCCCTATTTCTTGGTGTTCTCCATATTCTCTCCACAGAGACTTCGAGCTCAAAGCACGAGCCTCGAAATGAAAACATAGATAATGGGTTCCCTACTGAAAAAGAAGTGGGGTATTTTTTCCCCTTTGCAAACACCTATCCCTATTTTATCTTATCAGCGGCCTGTAAGATCTAGCATCTCCCCCCTTAAACTGTCATCATGCAGGTGCTTCACAGAAGGCTCCCGGCCACCAGGCGGTTTTCAGACTTCCTTGAAGAACACGGGAGGCCTGGGGCCAAAAACATATGAAGGTCATTACCCCAAGAGGTTGAACATTCTAGGATATAGATTTAGATAAATTAATGGAGGACAGCGTGGTGACAGGTTATTAAAGAAATATTTTGGGTGTGCAAATGCCGTCTATAGCTATTCTGAGAAACAGCATACTGGACAGGATGGACTCTGGGTCTAATCCTCCAGATGTCAGAGGGAAGGAAGCTAGTCATTTATTAAGCTATGAAAACGCAACGTGAAATTTCCTAAGTCAGTGATGCCCTATTTTGGAAAAAAAAAAAAAAAATTAAGAAGAAAAGCCATTTGTCTTCCTTGTGCCTCAGTTTTTTTCCTCTTTAAAGGAGAAAAGCAATTTCAGCCTATATCACAGTAGGGCTGTAAGGAGGAGGAAGGTGATTAGAAGCCTAAAGTAAGATAGCTTTTCATAGCAGGAAGATACCCTAGGAATCCTCTAGCTATACAGCCCTCTCATTTCACAAATGAGATGACAAAGGCTCTAGCCAAGGTCCCATCTGCTAAGCCTAGATGTGTGTGTCTTGGGCCCCCGTTCTAAGTATTTTATCTAATGTGCTCTACCTGGTAATATCAAACCACTTCCATCGTACTTGATGTGGACTAAGCAAGTTCTAAGCATTTATTCCCCACAGTAGCAATATTTAGTAGGCTTATTCTCATCAGAGAGGCTGATTAAGTTCCACAGGTTCACACAGCAAATAAGTGGTAGAAGCAATTTCTGAACCCAGGAAGTCTGGCTTCAGATCAATGCCCTAACCACTACACTCTCTTCGTTATTAGGGAAAAGGATCTGGCGGGACCAGGCCTGCTTAGACCTGAATTTCAATTTTTCTTTTAAGGTTAAAAAGGGATTACAACGATGATTAAACGATACGCGTGAAAGCAGGTGCGCTGCAGATAGCGTGTGATGAGGTCGGAGCTTCGTTGCTCTGCCCCGGGCTTGAGCCAGTCCTCAGGATTTTGAGTTCCTGCTGTGACCTGGGCAGCACGTCTACCTGGTACCTTTTGGGAGGGAGGGCCCCGCTAATGGATCAGCAGCACGATGAAAACGAGCAAGCAAAATTCAATCAAGAGAAAATGATTAGAAGATGCAGACCAGACAGATGGGCTGAGCTGTTACGTCACAGGAGGCGAGACCTCATGGGAGAACAAGCAGGGTCACCTGTGCTCAGTGCGGACTTTAGATAGATCCTCTTGCACCTGAGGAAACTCTGTCTTCGGCTTCCCATTTTCCCCGGGAGCTCCGCGTATATAGACAAAACAACATCCCACGACCACGATAAAAGAGATCCCCCTTATCGCCAGCTCTGATCACTTTCTGCCCTGGGTAAAAGACTTCTGCCAGCAGGAAATGTTGAAACAGTTATGAAAACAAAGTGCTTTTCTTGCAAACTCGTGTGATGACCAGTTTTTGTGCCTTGGCTGATGTTTCAGTGGATGTGAAAAACCACACAGCTCTCTTTGAGACTGGGCAGTTTACAGATTACGATTTTTAAAGATAATGACTCATTATTTGGGTGTTACAGCAGAAGCGGTTACTCAGTTTTCTGCAAACATAGAGAATCATCCCTTTTCTTCCCGATCGGTGGAGAAATGGCCAGCCTGTTGGACCAAATCTCACAGAACAGTCTGAACTGAAGAGTAACGTGAGGAAATCTCATCTAAAAAAAATTGTATTAAAAACGAGAGCTTTATATGGAAACAGACATGGATTGAATACTTCTTCTGGCTGCTATAATAAAATATTTCATTAGTCTTTCAGGCATGGAAGGCAGATGGATATTTCCCTGACACTCTGCATGGAGACCAGAGAGTGAACATTTGATTAATTTTATCAGTTGCATGATACCAACTTGAATGGAAACCAAAGATTGAAGTTTTTATTCATTTTATCTGTTCCCTTATGAGGGGAAAAGGATTAACTGTAACTGTTCTTTATCTGAATCTCTGAGATCTGAAATGGAAATTTCTCATCCACATAGGCTTTGAGCAGGCTCTCCTTTTGTTTATTTTAGTTGGCAACGTGATTTTTGCCCATCAGTTCAAATTAATTAATTATTTAAGGGGGGAAAAAATAGAAATCTCCCATGTCTTTTTCTAAAGTTTGGTTTTCAGAATCCCAGGATTTGGAGATTCTGCTGTGTAAAGTATTGTTTGGTTACTGGACACGTACAGTGTCTCGGACGTGTTGAAATGGGAAATTCTGTTTCCCCCAAGCGTCCCAGATTAGATTATCAATTGGTTAAATTTCCTGATGGGCTAAAATTTTTGTGAAAGCCGTAGAAGGAGAGCTGGGGTTTCTGAAAGTGAGATACTTTCCCAAGATGGTCGTTGACCCCCTTCCTGGACCCAATGGGCGGGAAACGGAGCTCCACACAGCAGGTGACAGGGAAGGCTGCCACCCGACTTCCTTTACCAGTCCATGGCACTATGTAAATATGCTAATGAAATGAAAGATTCACGGGTTATTTTTAGCCAGGTGTTATCCCAGCGGCCTGGATATTTTTCTTTCCGGCATTGTTACTCCACAGTCCCGGGGAATTCAATTACATAGAATCAGACGTCGATCTCCTTCCAGTTCTGCGAGACTCAGCCATGCACCCTGCAGACAGACAAGGAAAAGTGTCCCCTCTCAGTGTCAGTGCCTGTCCGCCTCTTCCCATTCCCTGTACACCAGTCCTTCTGGAGCATAAATGTGTGTCAGAAACACCTGGAGAGTGTTAGCACAGACGTCCTGTGTCTCTGTCTCAATCGGGACGCCAGGGATGATGGGGACTAAACACTTACATTTCTGACACACGGCCGGGTGCTGTTGACACCGCCACTCTGAGGACTACAGGTTGAGAAGCAAGGTCTCCATCCAGGCGAGGGATAGTAGAGTGGACAAGTTATTTTCACCGACAGTCAATCTTCGAAGGCAGATCTCCACTTTAGGAAAACCACCACTTAAAAAAAAAATGTTGCTATAGGGATGGTTTTGTTTTGGCTTTATGGAAACCACCGTTCATCTGCCCAAGAGGGATGCAGCTCTTTTCGATCCTTTGGTCTTTCAGCGTTAGCACTTAGCCGGCATCTCTGAATGTAAACTGGTGACTGGCGTGCTCGGTGTCCTCAGAGCTGCCTCATACGCTGGGCAGGTTGCAGAAGGTCCCGGCTTTGGGGGTGGGGTGGGGGTGGGGGGCAGAGCCAGCCCGTATCTAACTCAGCAGCCTCGAGTCTACCTCGGGGATGCTTTCCACCCACAGGAAGGGACGCCTTTCTCTGATTCACAAAAGCCCTAAACGCTTCCCATGGAATTAAAGCAAATCTTTGTGCTAAACTGCAAACCTCTCGTTCTTAGAACGACTATCGGAAGCTGTCCATGCAATGCAAAGACTTCGTCGTGGGTGTGCTGGATCTTTGCCGGGACTCGGAAGAGGTGGAGGCGATTCTGAACGGAGACCTGGAGTCGGCAGAGCCCGCGGAGGTGCACAGGCACAAGGCTTCGCTGAGCCGTGTCAAACTCGCCATTAAGTATGAAGTCAAAAAGGTGAGTGGCCCGCTGCCTTCCAGCGCCCGTACCGGACCGACCATGGACTATCTATCCACCATGCCAGAATTCCAGGACGTTTTTAAAAATAGTAAGAGTAGGTGTTATTGATACAGAGTTTCCTCCCTCCCCCTTCATGAAGAGATTAAGCGAAGTTTCATGGTAAAGTGGGGAGTCAAATATCAAGCTTCTGATCTTTTCCACTTTTGACTCATTGTGAGACCTTGGGTAAGTCATAAAATGCCTTGAAATTTCGGTTTCCTCTATAAGAGGAGGATAATGTTTCTTATCTACCTCAGGGTTTTGGTGGCATTTCAGTGGGTTAAGATATGTAAAAGAACTTCCCGAAGTGTTCATTACAATGCAATTAATAATAATAAAATCTGTCACTTGACACATTACACACATTCTCACGTCTATCCTCGCACTGAGCCTGGGTGGTCATTCATTTCACCTACAAAATAGGTCAGAGAGATGATGAGGTTCCCATTGCACAAGGAAACCGAGGTTCGCCAAGTTGAAATGACATGTCTCAGGTGACATAGCTGTGGAGTTGGTCATATTTTGCCAAAAACAAAAATTATGATCACTTTTTTACTCTGTTTTCTGCAGATAAACTGTTATGTATATCTATTTGCTACTGGCATGGGGCTTTTAAATACTTCACGAAAATTATAGTTATGATGTTTCACTGTAGTAAAAACTCTCAGAGTCTAACAACTTGGATAAATGAAATTCTTTTGTACTTTAAGAGAAGCTCATAAACCACAAGGAAGTAAACAATTATCAGGAATAGATCTGGTTTCGTGAACTGGTCCCCTACGTACAGCAGAACCTCCTCCCCTTCCTGCACACGGCCTGGTGCTTAAGAGGGCAAGCTCCAGAGCCAACCCTTGGGTGACCAGGGTCTGTCCCTTAGTAAATTACTAAAGTGGGGACAACACTCGTAACTATTTTTTCAGTTGATTTGAGGATCACATGAGCTAATGCATGTCAAGTAATCCGCACGGGTGCAGTACTTGGTGACTGCTCAGTAAGTATTAGCTAATAACATTTCTGCGTTATGACAATCCATTCTCAGAACGATGACTCTTAAGTCAGTTCAGATCTTAGTTGTCAAAGACGGAGTTCATGGTCATTGTACTGGTTCTGGACCTTTGTGGCAGACCATAGCCGATTTAAGCAGAAGGGAGTTTAGTGAGGGTGTTAGGAGGCTCGAGAGTCCTTAGAGAGCTGGAGGAACGAGCTGCTCTAAGCTGTGCTTCCAGAACCGGGCCCGGAACTGACGTGGTGAGGGAGTCTCTGTGGCCCAAACAGAACAGTTCTACCTCTGCTGCAGGGTGCCCGAGTCTTCCCCGTTAGATGCGGCCCCTTCCCCATCAGAGGCCTACACGCACGCCCCCCACCAGTGGACCCTGGGCCGGTGCTGGCAACTAGCACAAGTGAGGATGGGGGATCACGCTTTCTCTCTCTCCCTGTCTGTCTCTGTCTCTCTCTCTCTCCCTCCCTCTCTGTCTCTCCGTCTGTCTGTCCCTCTGTTTCTCTCTCTGTCTCTCTCTTTATGTCTCTCTCTGTCCCTCTCTCTCCCTCTCTCCCTCTCTCTCTGTCTCTGTCTATCTCTGTCTCTCTCTCTCTCTCCCTGGCCCTCCCACTCTCTTCCCACATCATGCACACCCACGCTTCGACCACATGTAGTGTTTGCAAGACTAGCCGGCCCTTAATGACCGATCTCCCCTCTGCTTAATAAGACAATGAAATGCGAAGATCCTCGGGGAGCAATGGAAGCGAGATAACTCTTCGAGGAATCATCAGTCACGAGATGATTAATCTGGCCTGGCCACCCTCCTCCCAGAGCATTCTTGCTGGTTGAGGTTTTTCCCTGTTGGAGGGGAAAAGATCGTTTTGAATAAGACTGATAGGAAACCATATTTAGAAAACCGTCCAGACGTTGATTTATCTGCAGATCTTGCAATACGCATCTCTTGTCTTTAGTACCCGAGAGGAGAGAATTGGTTTCAGGTGTCACGGGCGCTTCCTCATGGCCGTGAATGTGTCACATTAGCAGAGACGGCTCATCTGCAGATGGACGTCTGCTAACCAAACTGTCTTGTGGAGCGAACGTCTTCCCGCGTGTTCATTTTAAGTAAATGGACGTGTAGGTTATAAGGCATGACGTGCCATCAAAAATAAATTTGCTCTCAGTCAGCTACCAGGAAACAACAGCAAAAAAAAAAAAAGGTATTTGGACCTGAAAAGAGATTTAAGACTTTGCACATATTTCTGGTTTGGGTGGTTTTACGCTATAAAAGGAATATCAGTTAAAGTCTTTGATTTTGAATCTTCGCTTAATAAATATATATAAGAACTCTATTCTGGAATGCCTTAAAAAAGCCCCAATTCTCCATTTTTTTCTTTCTCTCAAAAGCTTACTTTATCCTTTACTCGACACTCACACCTCCACTCCCGCCACGGAAAAATACCCCACCCGCTCCTGCTGCTCCCTTTCCCACCATCTCATTTCTTTCCGACCCCCAAGGAAAATCGCCTCTTGGGTTGTAATAATGTTGCGTGAACCCCACTCGCTGTGGCACTGAGGTCGTCTGTTTCTGTATGGAAGGCAGTGGGATTTCAAAATAACTTTATAAGTTATAGAATTCCCCCCCGATAACATAATAAACTCATATTCTGTCAACTCGGCCCATAATTCCACTGAGAAACCCAGTTCTATGTCCTGGCAAGAGTCGAAGTCCCATAGGAGACTCAGGAAGTGTCTTCTGCCGTCCGCCGAAATCTTCTCCCAGCTCTGGTTCGGAGCTGGCTTCGGTCTGGGCTCAGAGTCCCCAGATCACGTGAGGTCGTTCCTAAGAATCACACGAGTTCAACCAGACCTTAGAGACGCAGTGGCAGTTGACATATTAACCAATGTCGCCCCAGTAAACTTCATAAAAAATAAAAAATAAATTTTTAAAGAAAATGAAACTGTAAAAGACCTGCGTAGGAAAGGTCTGAATGTGAATTTAATGATTAAGTGAGAATCATTACATTTTCCAATGTAAAAACAGTAGAAGAAATAACAAAGCAAAAATAGAAACAATTGAACTGCATAAACTTCTGTATCTCAGAAAGATCATTAACAAAAAAGCGAAGGGCAAACTGGAGAAAATATTTTCCTCAGTTAAAACTTACAAAAGATTGCTGTTCTTAAATTAATATCTAAAGAGCTCAAACAAATTTCTAAGGAAAATCTCCAGAGCCCTATAGAAAAATAAGCCCCAGGCTTGAATAAGTAATTCACAGAAGAGAAAATTCAAATGGCTAACAAACATATTTAAAATTTGCAGGTACACTAGTAATAAAATAAATGCATACTAATATACAAATACCATTTCCCTTCTCTCAAACTATTAAAGAATAAAAAATTATAATTCCCAGTGCTGTTGGCGAAGTGGGCAATCCAGCGCTACCGGTGGGGAACAGACAGTAATGTGTTTTCTGTTACGGATTTTGAAGATTATCCATCCCAGAGTCATAACTGAGGAATCTCTAAGGGAAATAACACAACTGGAAAGATGTATTATTACTAATACTATTACATTCTTCTACAAAAAAAATAAATGGTAGATGAAATTAGAGTTTTTTTTTAAATGAAAACAAGAAAATTAACTTTTAGGCAGAAACACGAATTATTTTCCAATTAGTCCTGAGTTCTACCTCCGATTGTCCCCGTATCTTCCCTGTGACTTGAGAGCAAACGCTAAACCCCTCTACCCATAGAAACACCAAGAGTTCTGTCTATTTCTAGCAGCTACGTCTGTTGTCAGAAAACCCTTAACAGAGGTGGAAGACCCTAGGTCTTGATGGACCGACGAAGCTGGAAAACTGGGCTCTTGGAGAAAGCAGAGGACATTTCCTGAGTTCCTCCTCCTCGCTCTCCGATTTCCTCTACTGTGGCCTTTGGTTTAAGTAAAGAAAGATCATCTAGAAAAGAGACATGAGGCATCATAAACACGTAAAATCTTCCCCAGTGTCTGCAGAAAGTGTGCAGAGAAGCCCAGAAAGTGAGTAATGCATCAAGAGAGTAGTAAATATCCTGCAGAGACGTTTTCTTTTTCTTTTTCTTTTTTTTTTTTTGGTGGAGGGGATGCCTTGTAAAGGCCGATTTGATGAAAAGACAGTCTAACATGAATGCTTTTTTAAGCTGAAAATTATCTAATTTTTTTCCATAACCTGCCCTGATTGGTGGTTCAGTTTACAATCTATGAGTCATTTGGCAGGGGGGAAAAAAGTTTTTTCTTAATGCTACAGTAGTTTTGTTCCATAGAAAGACTGAGGTTTTCTTGTGTGTCGATCATTCTCCCTTTAAATCAGAAAACCTCAAAGGATGTCATTTTTGTAATGATTTCAATTTGCTGGTCCACCGAAGTTAGGAAACAGCATACAAATTTTATCCAGCTGGCTAGGACTGGTGTGGTGGCATAAAGAGATTTTTTTTTTTTAGGAAGTAAAGACAGTCTTAAGAGATAAAGGTCACTGCCCTATTTTGAAGTCACTGAAAAGAGCAAAACTCATTTCCTAGAGGGATTAGTTTTTTTTACCCTCCCTCGCTACTATTGTGTTGGTTTTATTTTCTTTTTTAAATGTTCCTTGTATACTGGAATTAGGATTTAAAATCACTGGAGGAAAACATCTATTTGTGCTTTCTGTCCGTGGATTAAAAGGAATGAACAGATGCCATACAGTGGTGTTTATTATCTCAATTAGGAGAGGGGCAGAATTAGTAGGATGGGAAATATACCTGTTAAGCTGAACTCCTGGGGATGCGTCTCAAGTAAAATGCAAACACCGTGATTTCGGCTGGTATGTGACATATATTAAGCGTCTGCACTGTATGTACAAGTCATAGTGAGTCCAAGACTGATCGTCACCCATGTGCCATGTGGAAAGGATCGATTTCCATCAGGTCCATAAATGTACAACCTTTATGCATTGTCATGAAGGTCACAAAGCACATCTTCAAACTTGAAGATTAGCTCGAAGAGGAGCGGGGAGATGGAGCCATCCTACAACATGAGTACTTCTGTCCTCGAGAGTTTAAAACCTATGGAAGGAGGGCCGGACACGTGCAAAAGGGAGACGCGTCCACTGATTCCGAATGGACACAGGTCCCCCTGTCTGTCAGCCTCGTGGGCGTGTCTGTCTTGCACAAACCCTCGGTCGGTAAAAAAGTCCACGTCTCCATCATAATAGCTTTTTTCATATTTACCGATAGCTTTCTGTGCGTCCTCGGTGCGTCCTCGACCGGGACCACTCGTCATTTGATGCCCTCATTTTCATTTCATCTTGTACCAAAGGCCTAAGCTAGATACCCAGTGCCTGGCTCATAGGAGGAGCTCATGACATCTCGAAGAATGAGCGAATGAATGAATAAATGAATGAGACATTTAGGGACTGCAGAGGAGATGAGGAACTTTCTACTCAAAAAGGAGGGATGAAGCAGGAAGGAAATGATCTAGTAGATACAGAGACAGAAGTAGAAGTTTGGAGAAGTTCTCAGCAAGAATCCTAGGAAATTGCCACAGAGACCCCCAGGAAGACTTCAACCTCGGTTATATATCTGCACACTTTATCAAATAGTGACTGCGATGATCTTCAAATACTGTTTTCAAAAATCAGAACTTTGGAAGAGTGACGAAATCTTGAGTTTGGAAAGATTTCATGTGTACTTCGCATCTGGCAATGCCCAGTGAGCCTCAGGATTTGAGATTTTTATAACTGAATTGAAAGGAACTTGCGAGATAAAATCGGCTTTTTCACATTGAACTCGGCAAGAAAAGATAGCATCATTTTTTACTCTCCCAGCCCCTACCAGTTTGTATCATCGAAAAAAAATTCAGTTACGTATTTCAAATATTTGTAGCCACATCCTCAAACGCCTGTGTCAATGGGCTGTTGAGTCCTTCTGCACAGTGGCACTGAGCCTGCCGCCAGAGTGATCGATTGTCACAGACTTCAGAGGGCGGGAACACTGGGGGTAAGAGCAGGCACCTGCGGCGATTTGTGCCCCCGCTGCCAGCCCCGGGGGATGAGATTTCTTTCTGTTAATGAAAAGCATTCGTGGGAAACTATATAGTGGTAGTGGAAACTCTCCACCACCCCGTAGGTGAGCCCTTGATAACTAGCTAAGTAACTTGCAGAATTGCCTACAGCGGCTGTCCCCAGCCTGTTTGGCACCAGGGACTGGGGTTCCTATGATCATCGAACACCTGATGCTGGCCCTGGAGAGCGGCTGCAGACACAGATGAAGCTTTGCTCGCTGGCCCGCCGCTCACCTCCTGGTGTGCGGCCCGGTTCCTAACAGGCCATGAACTGGTACCGGTCTGTGACCAGGGTTTGGAGACCCCTAGCCTAGAGTACATGAGTCGTTAAGATCGGTAACTAGGACTTGACTGAAGATGAGCCCTCTGCCTGGTGGGACCTTCGGCCGCCCTCTCTGCCTGTCAGAGTTCGCAGAAACACCTCGCGAGTACTTCTAGCGGATTCACTGCTACTGTTTATTCTGTTTTTCAGGAGACAGTGATACCTTGATGTTTGTACCACTCAACACTCTTTTTAAAAAATACGTTGGCACTCACCGCTGATTTGTGAATGATCCTGAATAATTCCCGAGCTTGGGCGAGGTGCACCTGGCCATTCAGACAAAGGCAGATCCAGCTACAAGTGGGCACTTTTTGGCGTAGGGACATTCGCATGGGTCTGCCGACAAGTGTATTCTGCTCCTTAAATAAGGACAGGGCCTCCAGGAAGTCCCAGTCCTTCTAAAGAGATGCAGGCAGAAGGGTTAGCAAAATCAGATGGCAAAATAGAATACAGAGGCGGGGTGAAGTAAGTATAATTTGCTCATTTGTCCTGATTAGAACGGTAGTTACAAAATTACCACTGGGGATAAATGTTTGTGTGTTTTTTGACCTGTGATAGAGGAAGCAATGGACAGGACGGATACTGCAATAGGAAGGAAGTGACATTTGACGCCAGCTTCTGGAAGCAGTGCAGTGTGGAGTGAGAATAACAACTGCGGGTTCATTGATTTTTTTGCAAATGTTGCAGATTTGCAGTGGTCGTGCATAAGTACGCACACGGGCCATAGCATGTATATGTTTTTCACACATGTAGCATTTTAGGAGTTGCTCGTGAGACTTAGCACATTTCTCTTTTAGCTACGGTCTGCAAAAACCAAATAACTTTTCCCTTTTCCATTGAACTGAATGCAAGCAAGCAGGCAGACAGCAAGATGGGACACAGTCCCACAAAGGAAAGGACTTGCCACCCAGATTCCAGAGGTGGGGGGTCTATGAATTATGGAGTTTCGAATAGAAAAAAAAAAAAAGGTTCAGGACGTCAGTTTTACCGTCTCGTTTCCACTTTAGTTCTTCTGTTAGTTCTGAAGCAACTTGGAACAATGATGGGAACGTACAGGAGGATATTACCAGAACCTTCCGGTTCCTGTATCTTGGGAAAATGTGCATTAATATCTTTCGGATGCACATGCATTCCACAGTCGAACTGAAGACCGTGGCGTAGTCACCTACCTCCTCTCCCTCTCTCTCTCTCTCCCAACAGTTCGTGGCTCACCCCAACTGCCAGCAGCAGCTCCTGACCATCTGGTACGAGAACCTCTCCGGCTTGCGGGAACAGACCATAGCCATCAAGTGTCTGGTTGTGCTGGTCGTGGCCTTGGGCCTTCCGTTCCTCGCCATCGGCTACTGGATGGCACCTTGCAGCCGGGTACAGCTCTTTCTCACCTGCTCCCTCTGTGGTTGGTGTGCCGTGTCCTTTGGGGACGAAAAAAGGAAAAAGCTTCCTACTTACGGCTCTTATCGGTTTTACCCTGAATGTTCATTGACTCAAGGGCATGAATTCTGCTTTTTAATGACTGGGTCAATTCGAATAAGGGATGAGAAAAGATTTGGAGCTGGTGGGAAAGGTCACATTTGCCGGCGTACAATACTGAGGCTTTTAAGATAGAATCCCCGTGGTAGACCAGAGGAGGAGCCGCCAAAGGCCCAGAAACGGCCTGCCTGCAGGCTGGGGGCCCTTCGAACCTGTCCGCGCCACCTGAGGCTGAGGGTGTTAAGCCCAGTTGCAAACGTGTTATTATGCTAAGTTTGCATCCTTCAGAAGAAATAATGTAGCATCTGGGATTGGGGGCTTTGGTACTTTTAGGTGGCTTGTTGATTTAGTGCTGTTCGAATCGTTTTTGTTCACGACCTTTCTTCCTCTTTCCGGTTGCCAGTGTGGGGTCCATCTAATCGTGCAAAGGGAGGGGCACTAGTCCTGCCACCAGAATCTGCATTAGGTTAAGAAACGGTGCCGCCAGCAGAGGGCGCTGCGCCAAGGTCCTTTAATCTGGTTTTTATATTCCGAGATCTGGTTTGGTTAAATCAGAGGTTTTTATATACCGAGATCTGGTTTGGTTAAATCAGAGGCAGTTTCAGGCAAAATGAGTGACGGCCACTTACGAACGACCCTGGGGATCCTCCTGTCCCCGACTCAGCAGCCTCCCCGCAGAGTCCCTCCCCACAGGCACCGTGTGTGTGCGAGATTATTCATCCGCCTCACTTCGTTCTTGAGCTGCCATGCAGTTTAAAGCCGAAAGTTTGTCGTTTTGATTCGTTTCGATGACTCGAAGGAATTCCTTTGTTACAGATCATGGAAAAGTGCCTTAAGATTCCTCAAATACGTAACCACGAAAGACCGAAACCTATAACAACATGAGAGGGCATGCATTAGAGCAAAAGTCAAATCCCACCCAAGTAATTTCCCTTTCTGGGGGAAAGGAATCGGGGAGCTCAGTGTTTGTCTCTCGGAGCAGCTCTGTCAGTGGAAACACTGTTTGGGGTCCGGAGTAATGAAAACGTTAAGTCTTAAAGGCCAGTCCCTTCCTCTGACTTGCACAAGTGCACGGTGGTAAGAAGACATAGCAAGATTTCTCCACTTAACGGCCCATTTTTAGGATAGGTATGCGGCTTTCTTTTCATGTCACTGAAAGTGTTTTTTAAAAAACAACCTTTTGGAGACGTGACGGCTCCGGAGAAGTCACTCGGTGCTATGAATGAGCCGTCCGGCATGTGCACGGTGACGTGCAAGCGTGTCACTCACTATCCTGACTCTGCCGTGGAAACTGTGCGTTCATCTGTGTGTGTTCATGGTCACTCCCAGAGATGCCTGACTCGCTTTGGTTATTTGTTGACATCCAGTTAAGGTTCCGGACGTCCAAAAACATTTGTTTGAAGTCGCAGCCTTTGAACGTGCATCTTGGTACTTTTTAAGGTCACACACTGAGTTTAAAAGCAGGATCTGAATCCGTAGGTTGGAGAACCTATTAACCAATCTACTAAATGTACCTGATTTGTGGACTGCGGCAGCCCAGGGGACAGAAAGGCTTGTTTTTCATTTCTCCTAGAACACGGAGCTTGTAAGGACATCCTGTCACATGGGATTTTAAAAGCGTTACCTTAAAATAATTATAAACTGAACTTTAGAAATGCTCTTGTACTATTTATATGATTTTTCAAACTTGGGATGACTTTCAATTAAGTTAACCTACTTACAGGTTTCAATCATGGTGTTCCTTCCTCTTCTGCTTGGATAGTAACAGATAAAATATTTGTCCTTATCATAATGTTTTCTGCCTTTTTTCTATCAGACAAAGCCCAACTTGTTTTTGGAATATTTAGAAGTGAGAACTAACATTTACTTCTATAACAGCAAGCCTTTTTTTTTCTTTTAATCTTCAAAGAGTTTTTAATGTGCTACAAACACATCAACGCATTTGAATTATAAATGAACGAGTCTAAAAACATAACACTTTGATTATAAAGCAGTTAAGAATTACTCATTGCGAGTTTGGAGTTTCTTCTCCTAGACTTCAAAAACCTTGGCATTGCATAGTCTCTCGATGTAAAACTAAGAACAACAGTCTACGCCCTGTGATGTCCAGAAATGCATCTGTGGATGCAGCATATCCTACGACAAACTGAACAGTTGGAAACGGAGAGGTTTGACGACTTCTTATATTTGGAGGAAGCGTTCCCCGAAATAACTAATTTTCACAATGTGGAGCTCTGCAGAGACAGACACAGAGCTTTGAAAGTGTTCTCGTTTCTCCTGCTTTTTTATCCTATGTAGTAATTTTTATAAGTGTGGAAGCCAGATTTTCAAAAGTAAAGGTTCCTCTTTTTTTTTTTTTTCCATCTTGTAGCTGGGGAAGGTGCTGCGAAGCCCTTTTATGAAGTTCGTGGCACACGCTGCCTCCTTCATCATCTTCCTGGGCCTGCTCGTGTTCAATGCCTCAGACCGATTCGAAGGCATCACCACGCTGCCAAACGTCACTGTCATTGACTACCCCAAACAGATCTTCAGGGTGAAAACCACCCAGTTCACGTGGACTGAGATGCTGATTATGGTCTGGGTTCTCGGTAAGCCTTTATTTTCACTACTTTAATTTCTGCCGAAAACACTGTCTGTATAATGACTTTCATTTTCTATGTAAAATGTTATTGTACATTATATGGTGACAGCATCACATCGTTAGAATAGCAAAACAGAAGAATAATTCGGCAGCTTGATAATGCTAAAAGGTATCCCTGAATACCAAATAAAGATGTTTAGGAGTAACATGGGCCTACTATAAATATACTGTGTTTCAGAAATCCAACTTCGATTATTGAATAAAACGTAAGTTGTTAAATGCGACTCACCGTGACGATCAAATATTTAATTGACATTCTTATGAAGCACCCCCAGTGGGTATTAACTGATGCCTGAAGAACATGTATATTGTTGCAGTTTCAGAGATTTTAGGAGAGAGTGTCAATGTGGGGGAGGTTTGTCACTTCACCTCACAATAGCCCGTTTTGAATCACTATGTTAAAGGAAAAGTTTTAAGCGATATGAGAAAAAAAAAATGGAGATCGGAACCAGTTTATCTGTCGATCACTAGTGGAGTCATCTTTGTATGTTCTCTCTGTTTCGCTCAGTGTGTTTCTTGGTGTCTTCTCCCTTCCGGATTTACTAGGTTGGCTCCTCCCTCTCACTCACTCCTGTGGCCTCAGTCTGGGTCAAGTCATGATTTTATAAATTCCATTTCGAGCCATTACGTTCCTTTTGAGAATCGCGCAGTGTTTTCCCCTTACACGGCGGAGACGAGGAGCGGTTTCTCCTCTTCTCCCGGGATGGCTTCTCTGCTTTTGGTTTCTTCATATCTATCTTCCAGGCCTCCTTGCTTTCCCAGTGACGTTCTTCGCCTCCCCAGCGTGAAGCTGGGATGGGGAGGGGGCAGGGGGATGTCGTAAGTGTTCCCGGATGCTGGGGAGACCGTCCTTCTTAAATGTCTACAGGTAGATAGATGCTCATTTGAGGGCTGTTTCTCCAGTCCCCACTGTGGTTCGGTGATGAACCAACCTAATCTTATAAAGATGGATTTCCTTCTCTCCTCCAAGAGTCTCGTGGGGCGAAATCATTAGACCCGCAGAGCCTTCCCACCCATCTCCTCCTTCTGCCCCCACCCCCTCTGCGAGCAGCGGCATTTCTGGGGGCCCATGCGGACCTGTGTTTCTCCGCCTCTCATTTGGTGGAGCAGGTCATTCCTTTTGTGGAAGCTGCTTCCTCCATCCGACTCTGCCCAGGGCCTCTGGGCCGACAGTCGGTGCTTCAGGCTGGGGGCATTTTATAGACGGGGACAGATGGTGGACGAAACGAGAGCCCCTCAGGCAGAGCCGTAAAGTCTACTGTGTACCCTCCGTGTGTCGCGACAGGCATGATGTGGTCCGAATGTAAGGAGCTGTGGCTGGAGGGGCCGAGGGAGTACATCCTGCAGCTGTGGAACGTGCTGGACTTTGGGATGCTGTCCATCTTCATCGCCGCGTTCACGGCCAGATTCCTGGCTTTCCTCCAGGCGACCAAAGCCCAGCGGTACGTGGACAGCTACGTCCAAGAGAGCGACCTCAGCGAAGTGACCCTCCCACCGGAGATCCAGTACTTCACCTACGGTAAGTCGGGCGCCGGGGGGCCTCTGATGTCTCAGGAGGGCGCGGGAGCCACGGCCCGGGAGGAAACGCCAAGAAAGAGCACGTTTAGTACGCGAGGTGTGGCGAGTGCTCCCGGTCGGTGGACAGAGCATGGGCTGTGCAGCTGGAGCGACAGCCAGGCTCCGACTCTCCCTCGCTGTGCGACTTCATTCAAGTTCATGAACGTCTCTGTGCCTCGGTTTTCACATCTAGAAAACGAGGTGCTGCGAGGTGGAGGAAAACTGCCCTTAAGCCTGACAGCGTAATTGACTCTACTCTCAGGGGACGCAGAACTATCTTAATTGGGGGGGCGGAAATAACTCGATAAAGTGCTCGATGTGGAAGATGAGTCCCCGAGGTTCGAGGGCATGAAATAATAAAAGGCGCCACGCTGCTGTCCAGGCGAAGGGCAGAAGCCTTGAGCAGCAGCCACAGTGACCTTGAGACTGCGCGCCCCGCGACCCGGCCGAAGTCGGGGAGCCGATGCTGTGCCCCTCCGCCACGTGGCGCGGCTCGGACTTGACGCCGCACATCTAGATCCCGAGAGCGGGGAGGCCCCGCTCACTCGCACCCCGCGTGCAAGGCCCTGAGCGCACCCCACACCCGCCTTCCTCGGGGGCCAGGCCGGGGAGCTACGGTTAGCGCATGTTTCGCACAGCTGCAGAATCTTCAGCCTAGAAAAAGATTTTAGAAACGATGGCCCCGCCTCCGTTCACCGGTAAGGCCTGTCCGGTGCGGCGTTCACACGCGCTCCCGGAGCGAAGCACGGCTCTTTCCCAGCGCGGTCCCGCGGGCGTCGCGATGGCGGCATGCGGCGTGCCACGTGATCGACGAGCGCGGCGCGTCTCCCCGAGGCGTACGACGTACGTTTCACGTGATGTCTGCCACTGAACGCTCAATAAGTGCTCGTTCTTCCTGTCGCGAATGTCCGCGACGCACGCATTCTTCCGGGAGGGGCCCAGTTCACGCAGAATTAACCACGCGCTGTTCCTCTGACCTGCGGGAAAAGGGGGACAGACAGTCTGCCGTGAACGTACTAAGCGACCTTGAAAGGACGCTTGGGGTCCTCCGTTAGAATCTATGCCCCCCAATTTTGCACCTCAGCAGCCGCGCGCAGGTCCCCGGTACAGTCGCGTCGCTCAGACAGCACGAGGGCGGCGCCATCGTGTTTCAGGGACACTCCCACTTGTCGTGACATTTCACTTGCGTAAACCGGGACACGAACGAATTTCCCCACAAAATAGGGCAAAGAAGTTTGTGCCAGTCAAGCCTGTAGGATGACACACCAGGCGGTCAATAAATCTAGTGACGGGCAGGGCAAACCAGTCAGGTCCCGGTCATCCTGACCCAGACCGTGTCCAGTGAAGTGTTTGAACACTTTCTTCATCCTTCGTACGTTCTTCTTTGTCTCCTCAACGTGAGGTCAGCTCAGTATCTTTCTAATATTGTTTTCTCCACTGAAATAATTCACATGGGTATGGAATTCATATGTTTCTGGCTTTAACACGACAAATAGTGCCCAGACTGTTACTTAAATGTAGAGTAATTTTGACTTAAGATCCTATGTAAGGTGTAGCTTTTGCATAGTTAGCAGTGACTAGAAAGTTTCATTTACAGTCTCTCCCTCCCTCCTTCCCTC